ACAGCAACTTCCTTCTTCACAGCAACCAGTGACATAGAATTGGAGATATTCGAGGCAGAAATAAAGACACAGTCTTCGTCTTGTAGGAGTCCGTTCTGTGGTGGAGATGGCTGGAGAATGCTGCAGGCATCTGATGCAGGACCACTAATAGATGGCTTCTGCTTCTTCTCAGGCCTGGCCTTCTTTACTCTGAGTGCACATGTCAGACATCAACTGAGGTAGTAACTGGACTTTTTTGTTTTACTTTTCATAACATATGTTGGAGCTTTTCACAGCATCTAGAAATTGTGTATTGCACTCACGGTAATGATGTAAAGAGGCTTAAAATGTTCCTGCTCTCCCTTAAGAGCACCCTAAAACAACATGTTGAAAAAGCGCATGTCTGCATATAAAAATCAGGTAAAGAAGAATGAAAATCATGATTTTATGACTGAAGGCGTGAATGAGCACCAGTGTCACATACCTAGACTGCATCCACCCTTTTGGCCAAAGTGGTTTCACTTCATTGTCCAACAAGGTCTTAAGGTACTCCTCCATCTCCTCGCTCCCTTTCCTTTCCTTTTTATGTTTCTCCATTTTCACTCTTAATACATGACACAAGCACTCCCTGGATGTGAGAAAATAGGATTGGTTACACAGTAATTGAAAATTGTATAATGTGCGCTAAAGCAGGTTACTTCATTTCCTCCCTGTCCCCATTTTCACAGACAGAAGCCTCATTTATTAAAAAGGTGACCGTGAGTGACATTTCAAATGATCTTCAGCATATCTGACCTGATCTCTTCGTTCCATTTGAACAACTTCTTAGGACCTCCTTTTTTCCCGCCTTTTTCCTCCACATCTTCAACATTCATCTTCTGTTTGCCTTCTTTCTCCTCCTCCATTGCTCTGATTGACATTGCCAGTTCAAGACGGGAGAGAGAAGAATACATTTCCGATGAACCCAAACACTACTTAAAAGGAGGCACACATTATGTTTACGGCAATCTTTGGATTTTAGCTGTTTATACATCTTACACTTAAAAACAGACTTCAGGATTACAATGTCACCTTTTGCTGATCCTCTGTTGGTGTATGTTCCCATTATGTAGAGTTTATCAGAGCAATCGCATTCTGACATTTTAATCAAATTAAATCTTTGGAAAACAAGTTGTCCATTGTTTAAGTAATCAAACAGTACAAATTAAAAACCAGTAACTAAACT